ATTCCGAAATCTTTGATTCTGGTTCTTGCTGACCATGCGTGGTCATTATATTGTTATTGAACACAAAAGAAAACAAACAACAACAAAAAATTCCACCTTGCGGTAATTCTTCCTTATCGACGTATTGACACGAGGACTGTTTCATATAGCAGGCATGTAATATCAATATTTTGGTATTCATTAAAACCTAATTTACCAGAGTGTAAGTGAAGGTGTTGTCATTTTATATCTTCGTATTTATTATCCGTATATAAGTCTATAATAATTTTCAGCCGCGACTAGTATCTTCAGGAGTACTTTGATCTTTATTAACACTGTATTCTAGCTATAATTACCTCTCTAGTTTATTGGAAAATATTTACTATATATTTCTTATCTTATTTGTATGCTTCGTACATGTTTATCGTATGATATAATTTTACATGATTTTTTATTTAATTACTTATGTTAACATTTTATTCATTGTACTTGTACTTTGAATTTGAATCTGTATCGTTTTGAACGCAGAAATAAAATTATTCAAACCAACAAACTCCATCTACCACTGATAATTAGAGTATGGTCATGATTACCTGCTAGTTACCTGTGAAGAGTTCATTGGCTGGTTAGTGTCATTATGATCATCATCCTACTACCATCATCATCATCATCAACGACCTCCTCCTCCTCTTCATCTTCATCATTGCTATCGATCATCACACCCACCACCACCACCACGACAACCTTTACCACCATCACCACCACCATGAAAACCAGTACCACCAGTACCACCACCACCATCAACACCATGACAACCATTACCACCACCAACACCATGACAATCAGTACCACCACCATCAATAACCATTACCACCACCACCACCATTACCACCACCATAATTCCTCCACCACCATCATTACCATCACCACAACCATCCTTACATCACCACCATGACACCCATTACCACCATCAACACCATGACAATCAGTACCACCACCACCAACAACCATTACCACCACCACCACCATTACCACCACCATCATTACCATCACCACAACCATCATTACATCACCACCATGACACCCATTACCACCATCACCACCAGCACCATCACAATTACCACCACCACAAATACCACTACCACTGCAACCAACATTGCATAAACTCAGTCATAGAACAAAGAGCACATTACTATCATCATATGCATCATGCAAAGCAACCAATATTCTCACCCCCCCCCCCCCCACACCCCCAAAAAGAGGGGCGGGGTGACAAAACACTTTCTTCACACTGTATTCATTAGTTACCCACTGTATACAATAGCTTTATTGCAAACTTGAAACATATCAAAAACAAATCTTCTTGATATCTGCTTTCTGTCATAATAACTAAAGCAGTAGTTTATCATACAAGTCAATATTTTTTCAATAGTCCATATACAATACATACATGTATATACAAATACATAAAATAGGGATCTATACACAAAATATTTACAAAACCTCAAAGACTTTTAAGCCAACATAATATTATTTAAGATGATCAATTATATCTTTTTGAAATAAACTTGATCGCTATACATGTATAAAACAATGTAATACACAATTTGTTTAAAAACTTATTAAAATGCATAGCATGCTCGATCCAATCTTTTTTCTTTCTGACAAGATTGGAAAATAAACTGTTAATATTAAAATGCTCCTGAACGGATGTTTACACTTAAAACTTTGCTTGATACTTATTTCAGTAATTCCTATAAAAATACATATCTAGAACACACAACCATGTGATGCTTATCTGTAATGTTTCATTTAAATAGATATAATGTTAGTTGCCTAGTTAAAGAAAGTGACTATTACATGTATGTGTCTAATATATTTGAATCAACTTGTATTTATAGGCAATGTCTGAATTGCAAATTAGAAGGAAAAATTCTTATTATTCAAGCTATAAATTAAATCAAAGAAACTGTAAACTATAAACTGTGTCTAAATTTCAAGAAGAAAAACAAAGTTGCGCATAGAATTGAAAACATTATAAACAATTTCTTGCAGAAATATCATTTTATGTCCATCATCCATGAATGAAATAAAAAAAAATGTCATAAAGACCCTGAACTTTATTGTTTTTCCTTTCTTTTTGTACATCATAATCATTATATTAAAAAAAAGAAGACGGATGGATCAAAAATCTTCTTTCCACCACACATTTACAATTTAAAATGCATTGTTGTTGTGTTGAATGTAAAGCAATACATGGGCTGAATATGAAGCATAGAATGAGCTTCACACCATTTTTAGTTGGGCTGCATACAAGCCACATCTTAGCTGAATTAAAGCAATACTTGAGTTGAATACAATTTGAGATACCGGTAGGCCATTTATAAGTAAGCTTCAAGTTAGGCCACATATATGTAAAAAGCTGAATACAGTATAAAGAGGCTTTATATTAATTTGAGTTGGGCTGTAAACAAGCGATATTTGAATGCATACAACAATAAAGAGGGCTTCAAACTGATATGATTTGAACTGCATACAAATGCCATTTGAGTTGAATACAGCCTTAATGTAGGCCACGTTTTGGGCTGCGTACAACATATACCTAAACAGAATACAATTATAAAGTGGGCTTTATACTTATTTGAGTTGGGCTGGAAACAAGCAATACTTAGGCTGAATACAAGCAATACAAGACTGAATACAAGTGTAAAGTGGGCTTTATATTAAGTGAGTTGGGCTGGAAACAAGCCACATTTGAGTTGAATACAAATTATACAAAATGTATGAGGTAGACTATATGCATGTACCAGTTTGAGTTGGGCTGCATGGTAGCATAATTCTGGCTTTTCAAAAACATAAATTGAGATGTGTACTGACTGAACTTGAGCTGACAAAATATATTGATTAATGACAGTACTTAAATTGATTTCACTGAGTTATTTTACGGCTGATTAAATGGGAAAGGAAAACTATTTTGATCAAGTTAATTTTAAGTTGATTTGATCTAATTAAAACTTCATGTTTAACACTACCTATATGAATAAATATAAATTAATAAAACTTAGCAATTAGTCATGAGTGACTTCACTTTAGTACTCTGTATGATAACAAATTACATTTGAATGTCATGTTGTCTATGGGAGTATCTTGTTCTACATGAAAATACTAAGAAAGTGTTAATCTTGATTACATGCTTTTCTTCTAACAGCATCCTAATACCCCAAGTCTTGAGTGTCATGAATTTCTTTGTTGTTCAAAGTACAAACATGTAGTAAAAATTTTTTAAAAAAAGCTAAAATGAACTAAAATTAACTAAAATTCTATCCCATTCTCACATTTGTGCATGTATTCAGATCAACATGATACACAGATCTCTAACAATTTCATAATTATATATTTTTTTTAATTAAAAAAAGAGTCCTTATCCCATTTACCCCCCAAAAGCGATCATGACATAAAGGAATCCAACTGTAAAAATATGGATGAGAAAGGGCAGCAGACTGCCATGATACAACAGTCCATATTCATACAATAAATATCTTCAGTGCAACTGGGTAAAAGAATCCATATTTTTGGTAACAAAAGTTCTTCCATCAGGCACTAAGAAATGTCCAATATTTCACACAATGAAACATAAAAGATGATAATTTAACTTTCAGAAAGAAAACCAACTACATAAATCACACTTTACATGTACATCAATAGTTGTCGCAGTCAAAACATGATGACTACTACGAGTATCTACAAAAACAAAAAAAACATATTTAAAAAAATTTCTTGACAAACTTGTCTACATATTGTGTTGCACATGTAGAGCCAAGGAGAGCTTACTGACTACAGTCAGTGTAACTTTCTGATGTAAAAAAAGATAATTAGTTCAAATGATGGATTAGTTTTCATATAATTATCGGTTCAACATTTGAGAGGTCCTCTTACTATAATTTAAGTTTATTTTTTTTAATTTTTTTTTTATTTCCCAAAATTAAACACCAATGCCATAATTTCAAACATTCTGAGGAATTATCAAATACCGGTAAGTGAGAAAATTTGTGACTAAAATCGTATCTTGAAGCTTTTGTAAATCATTTCATGATAATTCATTTCTATCACAGGTAACGACAAAGAGTGACACAGCAATACAAAAACAAAATGTCACACTGAATGATGAATAACTCTTTAAAATGTGACATGTTATACAGATTCTTTGAGATGACTTTGGTAAAACAAATTACGAAATAAGACCAACGAGTACATTTTTTAGTACTGTGAAATGAATGTTACACACATGTAATAAAAATGTTTTCAAATATTAATAAATACTTTTAAAAACGCGAAATGAGTTAAATTGGAGTGACAAGGATTAAAAACCAATCAGGTTTGTAATAAATGTACACACAATCTTTGTTAAAAATCTGAAAACTGATCGCTAGTACTGTAACGTTAGCAAACACTTCCAAATGAAAGTGTACAAATGCTGCAGTTGCAGCTAAACTGCATAGAAAACTTTGGGTCATTTTAAAGGATAAATAAGGCAAAAGGAGGAAAATAATATCAATAAAGACTCATCATTAGGGAATCAGGTGAGTGGAGAATAAATGGTCAAAATTATAAACCTCTTTTACTGTTACTCAAATTTGAAGCTTCAATAAAAACTACTCACTACTCAGTATTTTTAGGGGAGTAACAAAGAGTTTCTGTACCCTTATTATAAGTTCCTGTATATGAAATCATACACCGTAGCATTATTCATTATTTTTTGTTTTGTTACGTTCTCTAAACTGATTTGTACCAAAATACTTTGTTTAGCTGTTTAAGGGGTTAGGCTCGACTAGCACATGTGCTATTATCTGGCCCCTTTTACCAACCAATAGTTTCTCTTCCTGTATGTGTAAATTATTGTATGAAATGTATGAAATGTATTGCTGTTGGTAAATAAATAAAAAAAAAAAAAAAAAAAAAAAAAAAACTCATCCCTCATTTGTTTGTCCAGGTAATCAGATATGATAAGTATAATATCATCATTTTTGTTTTTTGTTTGTTTGAGGCCTTGTACAATGTTTATCAGGACTTTGAGGACATCTTCATGTATTTTCAGATGAATACTCTGCACATATTATTGTCAGTGGAACTGCAAATGAAAAGAAATGACAAACAGTATACAATGACGCATAGATATGAAAGTTGAACATGAGCATTTTTTCACAAGTGAAATAGAGAGGGAAGGGGATGAGAAGATGAGGGGGCAGTATTAATAAATAGTCCAGGTTTAAGTGGGTACAACTAGTACTTCGTTAAGATATGGAGTACAAAGAATAAACCTCTCTATCCCTCATGAGTTATCATTATTCTGTAACTAAATTAACCAACAAAAATCATGTCGACATGAATATTCTCAATTTATTTCCATGTCTGGCTTTCTATCGTTGTTAAAAGAATTACAATAATTTGTAGACAATTAATTGCTTAAACCAGTCCACCAATATGAATATGAGCCACAGAGAGAGAGAGAGAAATGGGAGAAAATCAGCTGGAAAGATATACATTTTTGAGCCCTAAAATGAGCTTTTGTGAATACCACATCCGAATACTCCTACTGGAATACTCTCGCTATTTCAGTCCACATGGCATGAATACAGAATGTGAATTAGAAACAGGAAAGCCATGTCACTCAATACACTACAGTTGAAATGATAGCATATACCCGGATTATCACTGGAATTTGCTCATACAAACTGGACACGTTATAGAGATGGTTGGGGGAAATAACAACCCAAAATTCAGAACAACCTCCAATTTTTTTAATAACATGGCAGGAGGATCTCTTGTAGTTGTATTCAAACCACTCAATGTACAGCAGATATAATTTTCAACCACTGTTCTTCACGTTGCATGGGTTTAGGCATGGTGGATTCTGTACACCTTGGTAGACCAGCTGCCATTGTGTGCATACTGTATTCCAACCACTCAACACCAAGTGAATTTCTCTGTCAAAGACGTACTTTGTGTTTGAGCGCACGACCAACATAGTTCATTCTTGTATTCCAACCACCTGATGCGAATCGCATATCTCCATCCTTATTTGAGTGCATGGCAAAACCAGTCCCTTTTTGTCGGTCAACCGCCACCATGCGCTCGAGCCACATAGACCAACTGCCACTATGCTTATTGTTCTCCAACCAATCGCTGCGCATCGGAAATTTCACCTTATCACTTCTCTTCATATTCCATATTTGAGCGCACCGCATAGTTAGTCAACTTTTACCATCCTACTTTCACTGAGCTCATGAGCCTAAAAGCCAAGCAGACCAACTACCAGTGGGGCGCTTCGTCTTCCCCGACCACAGGATGCAAATTAGAAATCTAACCGTCCTTTAGCTGCTTGAGGAATAATCAAGGGCCTTGGTCTCAGTTTTTACCGACGGCAAGGTAGCCAACTTTGTCGATGGATTGGAATATGCTATTCATATTCCATGTTTGAGCGCATGGCATAGCCAGTCCATTTTGGTAGTCCAACCGCCGCCGTGAGCGTCGTTCAGTTGCTTAAGGAAATACTCGAGGGCCTCGGTCTCGGTCTTACCGACGGCGAGCGTCTTGTGGAGGTAGCCGACATCGTCGATGGATTGGAGTTCGGGGATCTCCGTGCCTAGCATGAGGGTGAAGAGGCTGATGAAAAGGTTGGAGTGGTCTCGCAGGATCAGGTAGGCCTGGCAACACAGCTCCTGGAATCTGATTGGAGGATTCAAAAGATGCAACGTAAGACAATGAAGCTGATTGGTCACTGGGGATCCAAATGATGAAATGTGTTACTCTGAACCCATCAAGTAATCTTTCACTTGCCCAAGCCCAGTAAGAACAGCCCTTCATTGCACACAGGGTGAATGTGTTTGTATGAAGTGGTCCTATTTGCAGGTTTGTTGAGTGACGACTTTTCATACTCAGTGCTAGTATAACAGACTTACAATCCTTTTAAACAATTGCATAATAGATTCAAATGGTTCAAAATGTCTTTTGTTTGTATTTAGACTTGTTCTTTTTTTCCCTCCAACCTAAGTCCATTACAAAAAAAATCCTTTCTTTGATCAACTGACCTTTGTCTTTTTTTAAAATTTGTTCTTCTTTCGCTCCGTCCTTTGTCAGTTTTCTGTTTTGTCCTTTCTTTTATGACTGTTCTTTGTTTGTTTGAAGTCACATTAATTTTGAACCATTTGGCCGCCCATATACATGTATGTCTACAATTTGACTTACCAAAAAAAGAAGTGAGAGATCACATCATCTACAATCAGTCAAGAAGAAACTTTAAGATCCTGATACTTACTTCTTGAACTCTAAACTCTTGGATACGTCGTTGCCCTTGGTGATGACCTTGAGGAAGTCTTCTGTAAGAACGAAGGGCACCCTCTCTCGCTTGATGCCGTACTTCTTCTTGACGTGACCAAGGAAATGGCCAAAGTCTATGTGGAAGATCTACAGTCATGAAAATATAACAGAAACATGAACTTGACTTTCATCCCGTAAGTGCCACAAAACTTTGACAAGAAAATTGTGAACGGCAGCAATTTTGTAAGGAGTGTAAATAATTGGAATGCCCTGCCTAAGGAAGTAGTCAATGCTACCACCATTAACCAATCCAAGTCATCCCTAGAAAGGTATTGGAGAAACAATCTAATTAAGTTTGAACCATACTTGAGACGGGATGCAACAGTAAAGAGGGACAAATAAGCTTGCTTCCAGTCTCTACACCTAAGTATACCCAAGTAAGTTGTCATGATAAAATGATAATCCTACCTGTCCCTGCTGTGAGACCATGATGTTACTACTATGTCTGTCTCCTATACCCAAGATGAACGTAGCTACACAGTATCCTGCACACGACTTGGTGAAGGTATCGACTGCAGCATCGTATCTGAGGGGAAAGCATAAAACACATTACAATGCAGTTACTGACAGCCTATTCTTTTGCAGACGCATAGTAGAGGGATTTCATGGGGAATTTGACACCATTTTGGTGTTTAATCAGGTATTGTCAGATACCAAGAGTGGACTTCACTTTTATGACCGACAGGTCTTATGTGATGCACTGTGCCTTAGCCTAACACTGTCTGGAATTCTCATCATATATATATATCAAGTTTCCCTCATTCTCCAGATATAAACAAGTTGGAGTATTTTCTGGTGGGACCACAGGCTTGCTGCTTCAGAGACCTTTGCACACACAGACACATTAATTAGTAATCCAACCAAATCTATTGTGGCCAATTATGATGCAATACACATGGACACTGAATACTATGTCATAATGTAGCTTTAATATCAGAGTAATGAGAATGAAAATGTACTGTACTTAAAACTAAGCTCTTGGGGACCTATGAATTTAAGTCCCATCCAAAGGACTACTAGTGGACATTTGAGGACGTATAGGACGAATGGATTTGGGATCGAATCCTGTTTTCAAGACCATCACTCTATCAATCGAGTCAAAATGAATGAGTTAAAACTGTTAATGAGTGTAGGAGGGGAGAGAGGGGGAGGAAGAGAAGGAAGAGAAGGAAGAGGAAGGGGAGAGGGAGGGGAGGAAGAGAAGGAAGAGGAAGGGGAGAGGGAGGGAGAGGGAGAGAGAGAGAGAGAGAGAGAGAGAGAGAGAGATAGAGAGAGAGGGGGATTAGAGAAGCTTTGGTTAAAGTACAGTTACATGTACGATCATAAATACATGTCTATCTACATTTAAATAAAGAGAGAATGTTTCTTACTGTGATCCTTTGCACTTTTCCTTGATCCATTGATGTATGACACCACTCTTGAGCTGTAGGGTGCTCATAATACCTGCCTTGTGCTGTATGTCATAGATGTTAGAAGAGTTCCTCACAACCTCAATCAAACCGGTCATGTTCCCTGTTGCTAGGCAACGGTAAGGTGTCATCCTGTACAGATGAGATGAATGAGATCATACATATTAATACTAGATCCAAGAGAATAAATTAAAAGACTGTTTGAAGAGTTCCTCACAACCTAAATCAAACAGGTCATGTTACCGGTTGCTAGGCAACAATAAGATGTCACCCTGCATGGATGAGATTATACAAATATTATGAATATCAAAGGAATACCAATATTTTTTTTTACTCATTACCCATGTACGTAGTAAAGCCATGTACGTCGTTCTAGCAGTATATTAGCTCTCTATATTCGCCAACAAAGAGACTCTGATGGACCGTGGTTTAATTTCTTTCTTTTATTTTATTTTTTTAAGTTTTAAAATTACATCTTTTGGATTGTGATGTTAAAATCAGCTCAGGAATAAATTATGAGGTTTGACTGATATATGTCTGTACAAAGCCAAATCCTCACACAAAACTATTCTATGCATTATAAGCAGATTTTACTTTGAGAAATTGTCCTCCTTGGGAGCGATTTCTAGGCAAAACCTGTTAGTGGTAAACCAAAACAGCAACAGTGGTAATCTATCACACCCACTTGAGGGAAATATCAGCAGATGATGTTTTTACCCCCATAGTAACTCCAGCAAGACAAGCTTAATATAGATTTGACTTACTTGAGGTCTAGTCCATGCTGCTGCCATATTGAATCCATGATCTGAATCATCTGAAGGGTTAACATGTCCTGTCTCAGATCTGATTACAAAAACAAAATATCAAAGTATAATTACATGTATATTAATCACTTGTTTCCTCAGACAGCTCTCTTGGCCATTATGATTAACATTATATCCAAGCGTGAGAATAACTAAAATGTTATTAATTTAAAAAAAAAAACATATAACTTATTGGCATGGGTACATTTAAATGTTCATTGTTCATCATCTTTATTACTGACACTGTTATCACTATTTTCAATCTTGTTTCATTGTTTATATCTTGTACTAACCCGTCACCAACAGGAACTGGGTAGATACTGAATTAAGCCTATGGAAATATGATAAATCAGTGGTTGCGTGGTTAGTGAGTTTTTATTATATAACTCATTCCCAGATCCTAATCAAATGATTGGTCATGCGCGGTCACGTGTGATTCATTTACTGAGCCTATTGCACTCGTTTTCATGAAAAGGAGTGCAATATTTGTCAGTACTATTGAACTCGTTTTCAGAGCGCAGTAGTGTGCGTAGAGGTTAGAGCACTTAATACTGCGTGAGCATGAGCCTATTCTTGTGCAGCACTATGCGTAAATGGTTATAAAGGTAATAAGTGCGCTTGCTATATCTATCGCTATGTGTGCGCTCTAAATTAAGCCTTATTAAAATTGAGATTTATTGCTGTCACAAAACAATCTTGAATTAATTCGTTTTACATCAAATAACAAGGAACTAGGAGTTTCGTTGTATAAAACAAATGATGCATGTTTTCATTCATTCATTATATGATCTATCCGCCCCCATTGATGCTGTGTGTATCTATCGCACTCAGCCTAATGGCTTTGTGTGATAGATACACACAGCCTCAACTCGAATGCGGATAGATCTTATAATGAACTCATGCGCATGCATCATTTGTATAATATTGTTTAGGCTTTCTGGATTTATTTTCAGTACTCACCATCACCCCTCTTGAAGATAATCTTGAGATCTTCACACATGGACATTGACATCTGATCCGGGTTCTCCCATTCTAGCCATAGAGGGCGCTTTGCAGACGACATGATCTTGCACTTGTCGACTCTGAGCTTGCCCAAGGAGAAGGAGGGGTTCAGGGGTAAGGGAAGCTCCTGGAGAGCTTCGATGAAGTCCGGCTGTGCCATGTGCTCTGCTAGGTATTTTAACCGGTCCTGAACCCAACAGAAAACAAACAAACATTCAATCACAGAGAAAAAGAGGAGACAATATCGCTCAACCACATTAAATGTTTGTTTGTTTGTATGTTTGTTTTACCTGACTGATAATGTAGTTATTAATACATTGTATATTTTTTTCGTTATAAAATTGTAAAATCTAACTTGGGCTGCCTTTCATAGCTTTAAGGAATTGAATAACAACATTGTACATGTACATGTAAATGTATACACACGGTAGAGGACTTTTAAAATCAAATAAATCGTTTAAGAAAATAAAATAACTTGACCTGGGCCCCGTCTTAAAAAAGAGTTGCGATTGGTTTGGAGTTTGCAATCTCCTATCTGTTATAGATGTACTTAGTTGCGATTGATATCAACTGTTTGTAATACAGGGCCCAGATATTACTAAGAAGCTCTGAAGTTAACTTAATATTACTGATGGTAAATCAGCTGCAATAAAGGAAGCGTCAACAATTGCTTCAACAAGAATGATGACAAAATGGCTTCTTGTATACCATGCAAATCTACCATGCAAAATTTAGACAAATTACTGCAATTGCAGGTGTGGCAGCAACTGCTATAATGCAGCTACCACACATAACTCACCGTTTTTTTTTTTATTGTGAGACTTAATGAGCTTGTAGCTCACAACAACGCTGTTTTGAAAATTAATCAATACATAGCAACAACAGATGTGTTAGCAACTGCTACAACACTGTTACCACACATCGTCCCTCGTTCTATTGGTGTCATCTTTACTATTTTTCAATATTAAAGCTAACCATGATAATTAAAGGTAACTGAAAGAAAAAAATACTGCAACAATAGTTGTGGCAGCAATTGTGGCAGCAACTGCAACCACACAAGACTCACCCTGTTTGTGTCATCCTTCTTCTCAATGAGCATTTCAGTGAGCTTGGAGAGTCTTATCTAAAAAAGATTACCATGGTATATAAAGTCACTGATAGAAAAAAATACTGCAACATTAGCTGTGGCAGCTACTGCAACCACACACGTATGACTCACCCTGTTTGTGTCGTCCTTCTTCTCATTGAGCATTTCGGTAAGCTTGGAGAGTTTGTCCAGAGCCTCCACCTGTCTGACCAGCAGCTTGAGGTATGGACCGAGTGACCGGCAGTACGCTTCAAGCATCAGACCAAAACGTCTGCTCACGCTCGGCTTGTGCATCTCAGATCTAGAAATTAGTGATTAAATTTGGTGGAATTAAATATTTAGCAAATGATCACGGTACAATAACTACAACTAAACGTTTGTATATGTGTCAATTTTATTTCAACTACCTCATAGCACCATCTGATTTGTAATATGTCATGAAAGACTTCTTTTGATAATGTATAAACTTTATGATGAATTTTAAGCTGTATTTCACTTGATTTAATCAACAAGAATTGTTTAATATGCCTCCACTAGTCAAAGATAGACCACACAAAAAAGGAAAACCTGTATTTACATTGCTTGAATTCAAAACAAAACCCTGTATACATACGTCACCGTGAGCTACAACACAAAAATATTGGAATTACGTTACCATATAATGCTAAATATTTATGTCATAATGTCACTGTCAAATCTTCGAAAAAAATTCTCCATATCTCTTTCAAAAGATACTATGAAAGATGCAACTGACCTTAGATGCCAGAAGAAGAAGTGTCCAATCCTTTGGTTGTACAGAGATCGTTTGAGAAGAAACCTGGCAAGAGGGTTGTCTAGGTAGGACTCGTACTTCAAAACCTACAAAATACAAGAATAACATAGAGCGGATAGTTAACGTTTAGACCATCTAACAGACCTACAGATCTTGGCTAGAGAGTGATTTCCTGGAAATGATTGTTCTTCATTGGTTCAAGATCAAATCAAGTAGGTATTACATGTAGGTAACTAGTGCAATGACTAATCTGCTTTCTATCTTCAAGGGAGATGGTAGTCAGTTTCCATGTGCAGTAGGTCATAATTTGCTGACACCAGGGGGGTGTTTCACAAAGATCCTAAGTAGAACTTAACACTAAGTTTGACTTAAAAATTATGGACAGCCATTCGAGTCTTAAAATGAAATATACTCAAAAGCAGAAATTCAAGTATTTTAGACATTTTATAAATTCCACAACAAGAATATGAAATCTCCTTTATGATAGAAAATATGAATGATTTGAATGAACATTTTATGCCTTTCAAAAATATTTTTACCAAATATTTTCAAAGATGCTAATGGCTGTCCATAATTTTTAAGTCAAACTTAGTGTTAAGTTCTACTTAGGATCTTTGTGAAACACCCCCCTGACTTGGTGGAAAGTATACTGGCACACAATAAAAACTTGTGGCCTCATCAAGAAATACCCTCTAGTCTCCCGGGAGAGTCTTCGGAAGAGGGTAATATACAAACAATACACATCAGTGAGGGCATTAGTAAGAATTACCCAGACGAGGTACCTTTGGAACAGTCTAATACGCCCAAGGTGGTAGCCGAGGGCGTTTGGACTGTTTTGAAGGTACCTAGTGTGGGTAATTTTACTAATGCCTGAACAAAATGATGTGTATTGTTTGTTTTATAGGATTATGTTTTATTTGTTTTAAAAAATGATGTTTTATAACATGATTTTGATAAAAACTGGTCATTACCATTGGATAATGACCGGTCATTATCCAAATTACGCGTTAGGCAAAATAAATGCCTGGTCATGTGTACGCTTTCAACCAATCATTTGATTAGGATCCATGTCATCATCTTATAACGTAAGATAATGACTTTTCCATATCGGGCGATTGGTGAAAAATGCAGAACATTACATACATGTAAAGCTTGTTGGTCATAAAAGTGAAGGCTAAAAGTTTTATGAAACAGGCCCCAGTTCACTAAAAGTATGTTTGACCAACTATCTAACCTTGTGATAACTTAAACCCAAAATACAATCCCTATCCACTTACCTGTACAAGTTGAAGTAAGTATTGTGTGACCTGTTCATCCGACATACGATCTAGGCAGTTGACTGCTTCTGTCCTGACACCCAGATCAGCATAGCTACAGTCTAGGAGACCTAGAGCAGTCTCGGCGTCCATGTCTGGCCAGTCCTTCAAGAGAACGTACAGCTGCAGGGGCAAGGAGAAAACATAGAGTCAATGTTGATAGTCACATGGGTTATCGATGCCAGTTATGGTCATCAGTTTCATGCGTTTAAAGGTAATAAAAAGTTTTGGGAAATTTTGAAAATGGGGTGGGTAGTGAATCTTTACAATTTTGATATATTTGGATGCCCCCGTGGATGTATTATAAGCACTAAAAAAATTAACCCCTAAAACACTTCTGTTTTCGAGAAAAATTGAATATAAAAATTTACCGGTGCTCCCGGTAAATTTTGATAAATTTCAAATAGCGCCTACGGCCGTACAACGGTACAAACTTTAGGTAACCTCGAATGTCAGCCTCTGAAGGTGATAATGCGCTGACACCAGACTTGGTGGAAACACCATTAATGGGTGTACAAGTCTCGGAACACAGCAAACCCGTAGTCCCATCAAGAAATATCCCCCCCCCCTCCCTAGTCTCTCAGAGAGCCTTCGAGTGAGAGATATTAAATAAAAAGAGGGTTTCACTTTTGTATGAACAGAGTTGTTTCTTTAGAGGTTTTCTCTCACAAGGAAAGAACAGCCATTCTAGGCCACACATATAGTTGAACGTCTGGGAGGTGTTTCACAAAGACTAAGGTCGACTTTAAGTTGGACTTATCTATGGCAGGGCATTCATGCCACTGATTGCTCTCATTATTGGTCTCTCATTTATGATCTTTAGATAATATTTTGTCCTTCAATAATGAACTATCTACAAATGTAAATTCTGTAGATTTGTGACCATGATTTGTACATCCCTTGAGAAACCAATGCCAGGAACGGGTAAGAGGAACTACATGTAGTGGCATGAACAGCCTGCCACAGTTTAGTCCAACTTAAAGTCGATCTTACTCTTTGTGAAATGCCCCCCTGTATTCTTAAGAAAGATTTGCTGGCCCACATCATGGAAGGAGTGAGGGACAGTATTGAATTTAGAGAAAAGGGGGTTTCACATCATACGAACAGGGCTGTTTGTTAGAGATTCTCACCTGTGATACATCCTCTCTGCTGTACCATTTGACAGAGCTAAGCAGCTTTGGTAGCGAGTATGGATATTCTCTGCATACAAGTCTGAAGAATAAAACATTAAGTAGAATGCAGTTAAAGATAAAGATCAGTTTTGGAAATGCCTCCCTCTCAAAAAATGAAATGGAAGCTCTTATTACCAATCATGTGAAAAAATATGTTTTGACTAATACGTGATAATACAAATTTTGCCGGGAAACCGCCTACTAATTTCTGTGTACAGTGCTTCCAAGTTTACCAAGACTGGGCCAATTTTTTAATCATTTTGATGATTCCAGAACTTTGCAGTACACACCAATACTAATATGCTAGATGATCAACCTTTTCTGTTCGATTCCACAACGTTTCTTTCATAATGCAATCACATGACCAGAACTGGTCTTTACCTTTAACCCTTTCACTACAACTGTTCCACATTTTGTGGTTTGGCTCGATTGCTTTTGATTCAGAACTTCCTAAAAAATATGCCACGTACACAATTAGAAAGGGCAACAATTTCTGCACAAACAGCATCCATTTTTGTGTCATGACTATACTGCGTTTGATGCTAGGGATTTTATAAAGGAAAATAAGCTTTACAATCCTTAAAGGTAAAGACCAGTTATGGTCATGCGATTGCATTGTGAAAGAAACGTTGTGGAATCGATCAGAAAAGGTTGATCATCTAGCATCTAGCATCTGCAAGGTTCTGGAATCATCAAAATGATAAGAAATTTGGCCCATTCTTCGTAAAGTTACAAGCACTATACACAGAAAGATGTATATGGGACTACCCTATATCTCTCACAGACCATGAGAGAAACAAATTTACCAAATATATGAATTAGTAGGCGGTTTCCCGCAAATTTTTTATCATCATGTATTAGTCAAAACATATTCTTTCACATGATTGGTAATGAGAGCTTCCATTTCATTTTTTTGAAATTAGGGCGTTTCCAATACTGGTCTTTACCTTTAAATTGGCAATTCCAACCTTTTGACAACATTCTCGCCCATGTATATTGTTTCAAAGGTATCACATATTATTTGAACAATGTAGCAATAGAAGAAAAATATAATTGTTGTCAGTTTGAAGAACAATATGTGATCAATTTAGCCCTGAATTTAAGTCCTTTATTGAAAGGGCTAATTCCTGCATGTACATCCAGAAACTTACTATTCAATACAATTAACTTTGACGTCTTTACAAAAAATTGATTATATAATGTGACACTTTAAGTATATTTCATATTACCGGTATGTTCTGATTTTGTCAATTATGTGAATTCTTTTTTTGTAAAATGTGAAACAAATAAACTTTAAACTTGAATTGAATTGAAAAATTGAGTCATCATCATCATCATCATCATCATTACATGTACCTGAGTTTCCAGACAAGTTCTTTCTCCTGCACAGACATCTCATGCAGTCTGTCCCTGTTCAAGATTTCCTCCAGTAGCACGAGCTCCTCTTCCGTAGGAGGTTTCTGGGAGAATATCAAAGGAACATATTTATATGCAATAGAATAACAACCTTGCGATGTTCTCTACGTATATAATAATAATAATAATACTCAGTTTCTGAGATTATTACCCCGGCTTTAGCTGTACTGCCATCACGGCGCTCTAGCATTTCAAAGAATTAATTCCTGGCAGGTACCCATTTACATCACCTGGGTTGAGTGTGGCAAATGTAGATCAGTGTCTTGAGGCACGATGGCCGAGTGGTAGAGCAGTGGTCTTAAAGGTAATACAAAGTTTTGGTATGGGGTCATGAATTTGGTTCAAATGAAGTTATTGGAAGCATATGCGACCCTACAATATTCAGTGATCATTGTCGCGGTTGAAATCGAGTCTTAAGTTATGAAATTATAAATAATAAACTCCTTATGTTGTATAGTTCCCTCTCAGGGTCAAGACATTAATTAAGCTATAAAACAATGTTTCGTGACTGAAATCAACCGATTAGCTACTCCCGTTTGGAAATTATATATCACAACTACATATTCTGAGATTGTCATGGTCGCAGCTACCATCATATACGGCCATAGACGCTAATTGAAATGTATATCAAAATTTACCGGGAGCACCGGTAAATTTTTATATTCAATTTTTCTCAAAAGCAGAAATGTTACAGGTGCTAAATTTTCTACTGCTTATATTTCACCCACAGGGGTATCCAAATACATCAAAATTGTAAAGAATCACTATCCACCCATTTTCAAAATTTCCCAAAACTTTGTATTACCTTTAAAACAGAGAGGTCCTGAGTTCAAAACCAAGTCTATGTGCTAGTCAGAAGTGCCCTTTGGTAAGGCATTAATCTTCGCTACCAAGTCCCTCAGAGAGTAGGGACGTTATTTCATAATGTGTTATGCGCTATAAAAGAACAGATTATTATTATTATTAGGTTGATATAGGATTTTCCTTTTGAGACACTGTGAGGATTAACCAAAGCTGGTCATGGTTGAACAGACTCTGTACACAAGAGAGTAACTCACCTCCCCGTTTATCTCTTCCCTCCTCTGCGCTTTGGTCACGAAAAAGGCAAACTGCTGGATCTGGGAGTAGCACGGGAAGAGCAGACTGTGAGGGTAGCGGTAGAACTCCAGTTCCAGGCACGGGGCGTCCTTGTTGGGGTTTGGTCCAGTCTGGCCGAAGGGGTTGAGGAGGTCGTCGTTGCCCTTGGGCGGGGGCCAGAGGTAGAGGCGCATGTTGCCCATCTGAAGCCGGTTGGTGAAGTCAAAGAGGTTGATGTTGCCCCAGGCTATTGCAAAGCCACCCTGCGGGAAGAAAGACAAAAGAACACTAGTTTTTAGAAGAGGCTTCTTTGAATAACACTGGAACTATTGGTGATGATGGCCCTCCAAAACAGGATGAGATTGTTAGATGGAAACGATCTGCCGGCTACTGGTTTGTACGAGGCTAACTCCTGTGACAACTGCTGCTTGGTTATTTCCAATACTAACCCAAATTCTAGACTTGCAACCGCGGACCCAATACTATAACCTAACCCTAACCTAAGTGCAATCCAAACCCTATCCCTGACGAAATAAAGTCCAGACTAATTTTCACCAGTGCAAATGTCAGAGCACCGGTCACCGTTCAGCATATGGCTACCGTCTTGGTACATAATGTTTTTTTGTATATACGTCATACATTAGTCAAAATTATATCACAGTTTTGGTTTTGGCGTTTTATCAACTGATGTATAAAGGTCAAATGATAGAATGCCCAAACCCTCTGATGCTATCCTGAAGTATTGCACTAGGGAATCATAAATTGTGTGTGCCATTCGACAGGCTGTTCACTAAAATAGTTCCCTGGACAACAATTTCTCACCTCTTTCTTTCCTTTCCTCTTCTCCGATGAGCATATCGAGACGCACCACCTAGCGCTACGAGGAATGTCATTGACCTTGATGTCATAGGTCAACCACTCGTTCCAGCGAGGGTTTGACCACGGGACCTGCTCCGTAGACACGATGGGGCACAGAGGCTCTTCCCCGTGGTAGATGCCTGTTCGGACGTATATCTAAATTGGCAACACGGGCAAAATATACAGGTCATGTGGTTAATTAACATGGTTAAATTGCATTCATTAGATTCTTGATCTTGTATTTAACACTGATATTACCAGTTTACATGTATAGCAGTTCAATACATAGGTGAATTCAAGGTGGTGCGTACTTCTTCCTGCCTATAGTATAGACAATGTTAATGCCATGGAATTTTGTTTTACTGTAGACAAACATGCATTTGGCTAATAATGAAAGCTGCCAATTTTGAAAAACAGCTCATGTTAAAAGTTATACAGTGTGTCCCATTCCAGCATGTAGTGCCAGGGCCCTACAGTTCAAAATTATGTTTTTCCCGATGAGAAACCAAAAAATCAAGAGCCCAAAGCATCTGACAAAATAGTGAGCTTCACATTACGGTATCTTTTCAAACATAGATATTTAATAAAGCAATTCATGTATACCCTGACCTTTAAAAAATGTGAAACGTCAAACAAGGAAAAAGCTACTACTAAATACTTTATGTCCGATGTTAAAAAACATTTCCACCTTATACCTACCTTGTCTAGTTCCTTGACGTTGACGTAGGTGGCAAAGTTGATCTTGACTCTCAGGTTCTCCTCTACCTCCCAGACGCAGGAGGTGGTCCGGTCGGAAGGCATGGTGGAAGCCCGTCTCATGTAGGACGGTAGTAGGAGGTGGACGTCCGGGAGACTGTTGAGGACGGTGTCTTTGGACATCAGCATCAGCTCTGGAATCTTGCTCTTCAGGATACACTGCCGGATATACTGCAGGATGGATGGAAAAGAAAAATAAAAAATAAATGGTGAGAGACATGTATACATAATTTGGAGAGGAGAAGGTACACATATCGAGATAGATGTCTGAGACTATTTAGGACAGTGTCTTTGGACATCAGCTCTGGAATCTTGCTCTTAAGGATACACTGCCGGATGTACTACAGGTTGGAAAAGGAGAAGAATGAAAAAGAAATGTAGAAGGTGAGAGACATACATAGTGTAGTGGTGTTTATTTCACCTGACTGCTAAGAAAGCATAAATGCTTGTTAGTAAGCAACCAGAGGACCGACAGATTAGGTCCTATCTGAGAGGCCTGGTGATGAGGATTAATGCCTTACCAAAGGGCACTAGCACATTGCCTTGGTTTCGAACCCGGGTCTCGGATTATGAAACCACTGCTCTTCCGATTGAGCTATCGCGCCTCATTAACTTGGAGAGGAGAAGGTACACATATCGAGATGGAAATCTGGGAGAGTGTTAAGGACAGTGTCTTTGGAAATCAGCAGCAGAATTTTACTAGTGATCATACCTATCATCTTACAATGTGAAACCAGATAATTATCATCTCGGAGTTACTCCTCACTGCCTCACACCATCAAAACACATGTAGTCTTGTATTCTTTCTTCCTTTGATGATATACATGTATGATTTGTAATATTACAATGTAAATTCTTTTATGACTCAACTTGTAATGCGAGGCAGGATAATTGTGATCTAAGAGGTACTCCTCACATTAACAACTTCCAGAACATACCTAGTCTTGTATTCCACTATGTATTTCTTCCTTTGGCAATTGGTTACATCCATGTCCTCTTTTCGTTCATGATATCCATTTAACCCATACCTTTTTTATTGGTGATACCTGTTTTTTATGACTCACCGTGTTCTGTGAGACAGGATAATCATCATTTAGAAGGTATTCCTCACACCCCCAAACCTTCAATGCATATACATGTATGTACACAATCCTGTGATTCTTTTTTGCTTTTCTTCCTGGAAGTTGATGGTGATGTTACCCTTTTGTACATAAATTTCATCTGTAATACTTTCTTTTCATGACTGACCTCGTACTGTGAGACCGGATAATTATCATCTAGAAGAAGGCGCCTAGAATGCACCTTGGAATAGAATTTCTAGATGGACAGGGCTATAGAAATGCTTATTGTTATTATTATTATCAAGGTACTCCTCGCATCCATAAACTTGTTCCTTTGGTGATAAGTGATGTCCATGTCCTCTGTTCGTTTGGATGGATATCACTCTGCAATAATTGGTTGGTAGTGCCCATTTACCCATTAAAGGGGTTGGAGCTTGGCAACTACTGGTTAACGCCATCTACGACTTCTTTTGAACAACTGTACGTAAACAAATAGACTTGATTAACGGTCAGCATGCGCTAGCGTTCGCGAAACAGACCTAAGTTCTCCTCACGCTTCGATTTTGTGAATGTTGCACGCACGTGAATACTGCGATCGCGTCATCGCATTATACCAGATTGGCCCGAGTCAGGCCACGGGAAAGACACGTAGTCTCGTCATGCTAAACCCCCTGTAATGTTTACTGATATTACCTATTTTTATGGCTCACCTTGTACTGTGACACTGGATAGTTATCATCAAGCAGGTACTCCTCACACCCGCACACCTTCAGGACATAGGTAGTCTTGTACTCCTCTATGCACTTCTTACGTTGATGATTGGTGATATCCATGTCCTCTGTTCTTTTGGAGATCACTCTGGCAATGATGAGTTCTGGAGTGAGGTCTTTGGAAGCCATGATTGAATACTTCTCCTGATGGCCCGTCAGCGACACCACCCACACCCATATTGTTAGACCACCTGGGTAAAGAGAGACAAAAAGAATCAAAGTGACAGATAGACCTTGAGGCAGACTAGCCCTCCGCAACACAACGTATCAAATGAATCATACAACTACTCCATTACAAGATCAGACACATAAGGCCCGTTTTTATCAGCTCCAGTTTGCCAAATAACCCGGTATTTTCAGACTCTGGATATTATCCTGAAGCTCAAAAGTGCATCTTCATTACAAACTAGCTTCCGACGGGCGCAAATTAGTCCGCTATTTACCAACTAGCGGGATATTTTGGAAAGAAGATCAAGTTTTCTAAGAATATTTTCACCACCAAATATCCCGCTAATTGCAATTTGGCACGAAAATCAAGGAGCGATTATATTTGCTTATTTTTTTTCTTTTTTTTCTCAAGACAGTGGGTCTTTAATTAGGATGTGGTGGATCCACACTTGCAGGTTATACAGTACAGCATTATTTACAGTACCTGTACATGTAGGAAGCTTTCAAAATAAATTAGAGAAAGAAAGAAAGATGAAATAAAAGGAGGTGCGATGACTAAGTGGAAGAGAAGAGGTTTTGTAACCTGGAGGTCGCGAGTTCGAAATCAAGTCAATGCGTCAGGCCCTTTGGTAAGGCAATAATCCTAGCTACCCAGTCCATCTGAGAGGACTTAAAGCTGTCTGTCCACTGGTAGCTTACTAATCAAGTATGCATATGCTTTCATAGCAGTCAGGTGAAACAATCAACCCTAGAATAAAACCAAGAATGAAGAACCAAGAATAAAACAGAATAGAGACTTTACATTATCTCAATGGTGAATGAACCACCAAACAAGTCATAAGTCCCATTACTTTGGTCCTGCAAAACCACTTGGTATGATTTATTTGGCCTTAAAGAATTGAGGTAACTTCAAGACATTCTCCAATACCAGATAATGAAATCAAATGAAAGGAGAGTGACTTTGTGTTTTGGTGCTGGGCAGGGAAATATCACTGCTGACAGCGCAAATGAGAGCAATGCCAAAGAAAAAGAAAAAGACTCCTAGAATCCTAGCTCCTTAACTTGGATATCGAGAATATAACAGTCCAGATTTACTTCAGTACATAAAGTCTGTGGCAGATCCTAGGAGAGAATTTGACTTGGTTTGGAGTTTGGATTGAGGGTTTAAAAGGGGTATGGGATGCCCATAGCACCTTTTTAAAACTCAACTGGCTTATACATCTTAAGTACACAAAAAATGTATCACCACATGATTTTGGCTCTTTCAATTTTAGACCTCAAAAGGTGCCTAAAAATATTAATAACCTCATCCTCTCTATTTTTGTATGTTACTTATTTATTATTATTTTTCATGAAGCTACTTTAGCAATAAAAAGGCAGATTCAGAGAATGCTTTACATGTACATGTGTTTTCCAATTAATTCTCCTCTTCTTCGTGATATGGTATCTGATTCTGAGGCATGCTAAAGATAAAGACCAGTTATGGTCATGCAATTGCATTGTGAAAGAAACGTTGTGGAATCGATCAGAAAAGGTTGATCATCTAGCATATAAGTATTGGTGTGTACTGCAAGGTTCTGGAATCATCAAAATGATAAGAAATTGGCCCAGTCTTCGTAAAGTTACAAGTACTGTACACAGAAAGATGTATATGGGACTATACGCACACGTGCGCGACACATGCGTTTATCTCTCACAGGCCAATAGATTAACTAATTTACCAAATATATCAATTACCGTAGTAGGCGGTTTCCCGGCAAAAATTTTATCATCATGTATTAGTCCAAACATATTCTTTCACATGATCGGTAATAAGAGCTTCCATTTCATTTTTTGAAATTGGGGCATTTCCAATACTGGTCTTTACCTTTAATACCAAGCAGTTTTTGATACTCAGATATCTTCTATGATCTAGAGCTCTAAAAGCATCATTACAGTGCAAAAGCCTACTGAGCTTGAGTTACGACTTGATCCAGATATAAATCTCTCCAATCACTAGACGAAACAAGAAAACAAAGCTCTTGAAACTGCTCCACAAATCTTGAGAAGTTCTCACAAATGTTTGTCATCTCCGAACCACCCCGTCAATGATCGATGATGGATCTGAACAGGCAAGTACTAATGGCTGACCTGACCTCTCGACATGGAGGTCACATGGAGGTCACACAGAGGTCAGGGGTCAGACAAATGTGGGCTCAACTCTAGGATGGGAGGATGTCACAGGGGGTAGTTTAAGATGGAGTGTCACTTCTGGCGGCTTTGGCATGTCAGTGAGGACAACTGCAAGTGTTCCAAAGCTCTCCTGTATGCATGTTACAGAAAATATGAATTATAGGGGAACATGGCGCAATGTAGCTCTATAAAGCTACGCAGGCCTCTGGAAATTTTGATAAGAGCTATATCAAAAGAGTAGAAAGGAAAAGAAAAATAGTGTAAGTTTCTTCCCCATAGTATTAAAAGGAGCCCCAGTGGTAATAACGTCAAGAAGAAAAAAATCAATGTACCGTTAGCTGGAAGGATTTTAGAAGCATGCACTTAATGTGAATCTCTCTCTCTCTCTCTCTCTCTCTCACTCTCTCTCTCTCTCTGTCTCCTGTCTTGTCTCTTCTCTCCTTCTCTCTCTCTCTCTCTCCCTCCCTCCCTCCCTCCCTCCCTCCCTCCCTCCCTCCCTCTCTCTCCTTCTCTCTTTCTCTCTCTCTCTCTTTTCCCATCCCTCTACTGATACGCCTTTTCTAAGACCCCGTTCTCACTCACTTTGAAAGTGGTCTTAGTTAGACCGCTCCAGAGGAACGGGTCTTGAGGAACGGTTTGCGAGCGTACACACTCCGAGCAGTTTTTAATGGCTCAAACCGCTCCACGAGTCAAAGTGGTCTTGTTGCTATGGCAGCTCAGGTCAGCAGATCAATTTTTTCGCGCGCGGAATACAAACCGTATGTACCGTACTACATGTTTCGCACCGAAGGTCACTAGCTCACTTCCGTTCAAAGTACGCTTTCCGTTCACATTGCACGTTAGAGCGCTCTGGAGCGCTCTTAATAAGACCCGCTCCTCAAGACCACCTCGGAAGGTGGACTTCTGGAGCTGTCCAGAAGTCCGCTTCCTGGACCACTTTGAGCGTTCTCACTCACCTAAGAACCGCTCCTGAGGAGCGGGTCTTAGTTAGAGCGCTCCAGAGCGCTCCAACGAAGTGAGTGAGAACGGGGTCTAACAGAACTCACTTGTTTATAACTCTATATCCACCTACCAGTATTTTGTACTGTTTTATCTACATGTAATTTCTACTAATTTTTGTCTTTCACCTCGTTCTACAATTTTCGTTTCAGGAGCTCTTTTTCTAGATACAGTTTATTGTATTAATTCAATACAGCGAGATTAAATCACAGTGGTTTTTATGTATCTTAATATCGTTTTACCAGACCTTTTTATAGTAAAATTTATAGATCTCTTTTGGAGCTTTCGAATCATTTTACTACAGCTAGTCTTTCGTTTTCTAAAGCTTTTAGGAGCTTTCTGGAGCTGAGTTTGCTCACCGCTCTCATTTACTTTCTCAGCGCTTCTATCCCTTCCCTTCCCTCTCTCTTTCCAACATACAAAACACTCTCAGACCCTCACACAGAAAACAAGTAATGCTATTTTCACAAGCCCCATACATCACATGATTCCATGACATTTGCTCCGGCGACAATTGCTCCGCTGTAAATTTCATACACTAATCGAATGGCTAACTTCAACCCTGGATTTAACACTATACCCTACCCTAAACCTAACCCTAAACCTAACATAAAACCCTATTGAAACCCTAACCCTAACCCTACATCTTAGACGAAATAAAGCCCGGAGCAATTGTCGCAGGAGCAAATGTCGTGTCACCACATCACATACATCAAGCAGTAAAAACAAGGACTCTGTTTCCATTTTCCTCAATTAAGCACCATCATGGAGTTTGCAATAATCCACAGAAGTTTGCAAAATCAGAAAGAACTGAAACTCATGTACTGTAGTGTAAACCATCCTTATGCTTGCATGAAATGTTTGGCAAATTTCGCAAGTGGTTCAAATACGATAGCTGCGAGAAGAGAATTGAATCACAATTGACACAACACTAAATTTCTGCTCTTAGCCAAAGTTTATTGCCGTGAAAATGACCGTCCTTCGCGAAACTGATTCTACGATATCTCAAAAATCTAAATACATCAAAAGATGATGAACCAAGATTGCTCTGGGATTTATATTTTAAAAGATAGAGGGTGAAGCCTAGGGTTTGGATTGTAATTGGGGTTTAGGGTTAAGTTAAGGTTTAGAGTCAGGGTTAAGGTTGTAATTGGGGTTTATATAGGTTTAGGGTTAAGTTTAGGTTTAGAGTCAGGGTTAAGGTTGTATTTGGGGTTGGGATTTGGTTTAGGGTTAAGTTTAGGTTTAGAGTCAGGGTTAGGGATGGGGTAGATGTGTTTAGACATGTACACAAATCAGGATTAGTGATAAGACATGACAAGAAGAAGGTGCTTTTATACTCTTTTGTACCAGACCTACATGTACGTTACCCATTTGACATGATGAGTGTTTCACTCTGGTTTTAGTCTGACTCATCTTGAAACCTTCAATCTGGCAAGTCTGAGACCAGTTAGCCGGGTTCGAACTGCACGAGTTTGATGTTATCTCAGGATTATGGTAACACACCTTCCCAAGTGGTAACACAACCCAATCTTCCCTAGATACTAGAGACTTCAACAGTAAACAGAATGGCAAGTAAACATGCAAGCACTTTAATTGAACTTTGAGACACACTCCAGTGCCTGTAAAAACCCATGCACTTTCGAGGGCCAGAGCTGCATGTCTCTCTGCCACTGCTTTCAGATACCTGTACTTACTTTAGATCAAATCCGGTTAAAGTAGAGCCAATTTGGTGTAAGGTCTTTCCTCGTTGAGTAAAGAGATTTAGAATAAGTATGCGACAGGCATGACAAGCAGCCTTTTCACACACAGCTAAAATTCATCGTATCTAGTGATGATTAGAATCATCGTAAAATTTTAAACATGTTTATAGACAAAATTTCCCAG